TTTTTGGGAGTTGAGTTACGGCCACATGGAAGGGATCAAGCCAGTTTGGTTTGTTGGTGTTGACAGGTGCAAAATGGCTCCCGGTTGAAGCCCAACTGTGCAACCATTGGTTGCTTTTGATTGTAAAGTGAAGCAGGTTGACTGGGACCTCTCAAACGGCATGGACCAGAATCTACTAGGACGTTTGGGTTGGGGTCTAAAGCTGAAGCAATTGAAGGGTTAAGAGGGGCCGGGGTTGCCCCAATTCTTCCATTGCTCTGCAGAAGTGCATGTTTTTTAAGATATTCGAGATACTGGGAGGGACACGGGGCATTTCGCGAACTGGTGACGCCCACGTTGAAGTTTGGAGGAAACTAAGAGGAAACAAGCCATGTTTAGGGGGACCATAGATTGGAGAGGAAAGAACGTTAATTCCTGCGCCCTGGCAAAACAGTATCCCCCTTTTGAAACCAGTGATAGCAAGAGTTGACCAATACCAGTACACATGCGGTGTTTGTGTTCGGGTCTGCATTTGGTTGCACGGATACACAGTTGTTTATGCACGAGGCCGGTCGCTCCGGCTGTAAACATATGCAGGATGTACTTGGTAAGTTGGTACTGGTAGGTCATTTGCTGTTGATTTGGAATTGAGCGGGGGTCAAACTGAGGCGGGCTGCTGGGGCACTTGCATGTGAAGCTCAACCTGCAGCTTTTGGTCCATTTGCGAGGAACACTGTGCAAGCAATTTTTCATTAGAGGGCTTACGCATTTTTCCATGTGAGTGGCCGCATGGGCTTTGAAGGTAAATGGGGAATCACCTCTAAAGTGTTGACGGAAATGAATCCACCACCGGCACCTCCAAATATGACCCTGGCTGCGTGTTGAGATGCCCGCGACAGGACCACGGGTGCCTGAACACCCACAGGGACCGCGGCGCGGCGGCCTCGGGACATGGCACACAGTCGTTCGCTTCAGAGGAGGGATTCTGTTTTCTTTCTTTTTTTTTGGGGGGGGTGTCTTTTCGGACCTCTCTTAGTTTGGGAGGGACACCAACATATTTTCGGACCTCTCTTGGTTTGGGAGGGACACCAAAAGAAGCCAACCTGAAGGATTTGTCGACGTCCCAAGTTTTGAGACGCACCCATGTCACCGCTGAGGTACTGACCGTCGTTTACGGTGCCCCCGACGAGGATGGGCAGAAGGACGTGACCAGGCGGGGCAACGGATGCCTCGAACTGTGCCGAACCAGTCGCTGTGGATAGTTGCTATCAGATATTGGTATGGGTCAAAATTAAACCACCAGGGAACCGCAGGTTTTAGTCCATTCCATTTACCAGGGTTCTATATTGGGTACCCATTTTTTGACCCACACCCATAGGTCAGTTTTAATCCCAAATGTTGTCCCCAGTTTCGGCACTTAGGCAAGTGGCGCCTGTCCAAAATCCGTCGTGCCAAGCTCCTGGCATGGTGGCTCTTCAGTCCGGTGTGTAGGGTCAGAGGGCTTGCTTCATGTCTGGTCTCTGGCGTAGCCTTGGCCCCTTACCCTCAAGCTCAAGAACCGGCCACTTCAACTGCAAGTAAGTCTTCGAATTGGGTTTGAGGGGGGGGGTTCACGTAATCCAAAGGAAGTGTAGATCTGTTGCAAACTCGTGGATTTTCCATTGTACCTCCCAAATATCAAATTTGTTGCTCAGGGGCCAGACTCGATTACACCATCGACCATTGAAGTATTTGTGAGGATAGCATGGGGGTCTGCTGATGCAATGCTTGATTGCAGCAGCTTGCTCGTGCGCCTTATGGTATCCGTGTGAGCATCCGACAAATTCATTGGTAGTCTTTGATGGTAATGGCCGCAACACGGATATGCACCCGAAAACTGAAGACCGATAGGGGTCCACCCAACTTCCTCATGGCATTGAGTTTCGTAGACTACTCATGTGACAAAAGCTGAGCTTAGTTGGAGTCTTGCGACCTCCGGTCACAAAAGGCGAATTCTCGTGGGGCATGGCGAGCTGTACGCTCACTCTGTTGATCCAACTCGGCCAAGCTAACAAATGAGCAGCAAAGCTCATGTTGTTGTTTTTTTTACCGTGCATTTGTCAATTTAGTCCCCCTCCCCAGCCCCCAAGTGCAACTTCGCTTTGTGAGAAGCACGACAGCCAGTCACTCAGCAATTGCCCAGGGTCCTTTTCCCAGCTTGTTTGTACCCCAAAGAACTCACCCTCCCGTACACATGGAGCCTGACGTTTTGGGGTGCTGGAAGACAAATTTCCTTCAAAAGGGACCCACCAGAGTGGGTAGCATTGGCGATTTTTGGGGGGGGCTTCGCATTTACCTCAGCCCAAAGCACCCAGAAGTTTGAAGTAGCGAAAGCCCAAAACATTTCTCCGGATTATCCTTGCTCTCCCTCTCAATCCAAGCAGGGGTAAATAATATTTCACTTGCTGAAAGGAACATGTTTTGTGTTCCCCTGATGAGTTTAAAGGGAACCACTACTGTTTTTTTCAGATGGACTTAGAATATGCTTTGTTTTCCCCTGTTGGTTTTAAAGGGAGTCTATCACTACTGAAAATAGTTTCATTTTTCCAGATGGACGAAAACGCAAATGGAAGTCAGGAGGTCTTTGCCTAAAAAAAAACCTCAGCCTGTGACTCCTTTCCGCAGGCTTTGGATCCGCTCCGCAGAGCAGCGACTCGGCTTACGGGTTCCGAAACTGACTGGGGGCTCTTTCTGGCCCAGAATAGCATATGCATGTCTATATAAATATTATACTCGTATGTATGTATATATATATATATGCATGTTCATATATGTACGTATATATACATATATATATACACATTTACCTGTATATTTTAACGCCTCCGGCTCAGGCCGCCGACATTACAGGCCTGCTTTCTTATTTGCGTCCCTTTGGAATTGTCCCCTTGCCCCCTTCCCCTCTGAGATGTTTGCCCCCCTTTCTTTGTTGAGATCCATTCCCCCTTTCCGCCCTAAGGCCTTTTCTCCCTCTGTTTTCTTTCCCTTTTCCTCCCTAAGATGTTTTCCCCCCTCTCCCTGTTGAGATCCTTTCCCCCCTTTCCCCCCTAAGGCCTTTTCCCCCCTGAGATCTTCTCCCTTTTCCTCCCTTTCCCCCACTTTCCCCCCTACAGCCTTTTCCTCCCTGGGATCTTTTCCCTTTCCTCCCTGAGATCTGTCCCCCCCTTTCCCTGTTGGAATCCTTTCCCCCCTTTCCCCCCTACGGCCTTTCCCCCCGCTGAGATCTTCTCCCTATTCCTCCTTAAGATCCTTTGCCCCCTTTCCCTGTTGAGATCCTTTCCCCCCTTCCCTTTAAGGCCTTTCCAGATCTTCTCCCTTTTCCTTCCTAAGATTGTTTCCCCCTTTCCCTGTTGAGATCCTTCCCACTTTTTCCCCCCTCAGGCCTTTCCCCCCCTGAGAGCTTCTCCCTTTTCTTTCCTTAGATCTTTCCCCCCTTTCCCTGTTGGCCTTTTTTCCCCCAGATCTTCTCCCTTTCCTCCCTAAGATCTTTTCCACCCCTTTTCCCTGTTGAGATCATTTCTCCCCTTTCCCCCCTAAGGCCTTTTGCCCCCAGATCTTCTCCCTTTCCTCCCTAAGATCTTTTCCCCCCTTTCCCTGCTCAGATCCTTTCCCCCCTTTCCCCCCTAAGGCCTTTCCCATCCTGAGATCTTCTTTCTTTTCCTCCCTAAGATGTTTTGCCACCTTTCCCTGTTGAGATCCATTCCCCCTTTCCCCCCCTAAGGCCCTTTCTCCCTCTGAGTTTTTCCCTTTTCCTCCCTACGATATTTTCCCCCCTCTCCCTGTTGAGATCCTTTCCCTCCTTTCCCCCCTAAGGCCGTTTTTCCCCCCGCGATCTTCCCCCTTTTCCTTCCTAAGATCTGTTCCCCCCTTTCCTTGTTGAGATCCTTTCCCCCCTTTCCCCCCCTAAGGCCTTTCCCCCCCGAGATCTTCTCCCTTTTCCTCCCTAAGATCCTTTGCCCCCTTTCCCTGTTGAGATCCTTTCCCCCCTTTCCCCCCCAAGGCCTTTCCCCCCCTGAGATCTTCTCCCTTGTCCTCCCCAAGATCTTTTCCCTTGGTTGAGATCCTTTCCCCCTTTCCCCCCAAGATCTTCTCCCTTTTCCTCCCTAGGATCTTCTCCCACCTTTCCCTGTTGAGCTCCTTTCCCCCTTTTCCCCCTAAGGCCTTTTCAGATCTTCTCCCTGTTCCTCCCGAAGATCCTTTGCCCCCTTTCCCTGTTGAGATCCTTTCCCCCTTTCCCCCCTAAGGCCTTTTCCCTGCCTGGGATCTTCTCCCTTTCCTCACTGAGATCTTTCCTCCCCTTTCCCTGTTGAGATCCTTTCCCTCCTTTCCTTCCTAAGGCCTTTCCCCCCGCTGAGATCTTCTCCCTATTCCTCCTTAAGATCCTTTGCCCCCTTTCCCCGTTGAGATCCTTTCCCCCCTTCCCTTTAAGGCCTTTCCAGATCTTCTCCCTTTTCCTTCCTAAGATTGTTTCCCCCCTTTCCCTGTTGAGATCCTTCCCACCCTTTCCCGCCTAAGGCCTTTCCCCCCCTGAGCCTTTTCCTTCCTTAGATCTTTCCCCCCTTTCCCTGTTGGCTTTTTTCCCCCAGATCTTCTCCCTTTCCTCCCTAAGATCTTTTCCACCCCTTTCCCTGTTGAGATCATTTCTCCCCTTTCCCCCCTAAGGCCTTTGTCCCCAAATCTTCTCCCTTTCCTCCCTAAGATCTTTCCCCCCCCCTTTCCCTGCTGAGATCCTTTCCCCCCTAAGGCCTTTCCCACCCTGAGAGCTTCTCCCTTTTCCTTCCTAAGATCTTTTCCCCCCTTTCCCTGTTGGGCTTTCTTCCCTGAGTCCTTTTCTCCCAGATCTTCTCCCTTTCCTCCCTAAGATCTTCCCCCCCCTTTCCTCCCTAAGATCTTTCCCACCCTTTCCCTGTTGAGACCTTTCCCCCCTTTCCCTCCCAAGGCCTTTCCCCACTTAAGAGCTTCCCCCTTTTCCTTCCTAAGATGTTTTCCCCCCTTTCCCTGTTGGGCTTTCCCCCCTAAGTCCTTTTCTCCCAGATCTTCTCCCTTTCCTCCCTAAGACCTTCCCCCCCCCTTTCCTTCCTAAGATTGTTTCCCCCCTTTCCCTGTTGAGATCCTTCCCACCCTTTCCCCCCTCAGGCCTTTCCCCCCCTGAGAGCTTCTCCCTTTTCCTTCCTTAGATCTTTCCCCCCTTTCCCTGTTGGCCTTTTTTCCCCCAGATCTTCTCCCTTTCCTCCCTAAGATCTTTTCCACCCCTTTCCCTGTTGAGATCATTTCTCCCCTTTCCCCCCTAAGGCCTTTGTCCCCAGATCTTCTCCCTTTCCTCCCTAAGATCTTCCCCCCCCCCCCCCCTTTCCCTTTCCCCCCCCTGAGAGCTTCTCCCTTTTCCTTCCTAAGATCTTTTCCCCCCTTTCCCTGTTGGGCTTTCCCCTAAGTCCTTTTCTCCCAGATCTTCCCCCTTTCCTCCCTAAGATCTCCCCCCCCCCCCCCCCTTTCCTCCCTAAAATCTTTCCCACCCTTTCCCTGTTGAGATCTTTTTCCCCTTTCCCTCCCAAGGCCTTTCCCCCCCTGAGAGCTTCTCCCTTTTCCTTCCTAAGATCTTTTCCCCCCTTTCCCTGTTAGGCTTTCCCCCCTAAGTCCTTTTCTCCCAGATCTTCTCCCTTTCCTCCCTAAGACCTTCCCCCCCCTTTCCTTCCTAAGATTGTTTCCCCCCTTTCCCTGTTGAGATCCTTTCCCCCCTTTCCCCCCTACGGCCTTTCCCCCCGCTGAGATCTTCTCCCTTTTCCTTCCTTAGATCCTTTGCCCCCTTTCCCTGTTGAGATCCTTTCCCCCCTTCCCTTTAAGGCCTTTCCAGATCTTCTCCCTTTTCCTTCCTAAGATTGTTTCCCCCCTTTCCCTGTTGAGATCCTTTCCCCCGTTTCCCCCCTAAGGCCTTTTCCCCCCAAGATCTCCACCCTTCTCTTCCCAAAGTCTTTTTCCCCCTTTCCCGTTTGAGATCCTGTCCCCCCATTGCCCCGTAGGGTCTGTTCCCCCCGAGAAAGATTTCCCTTTTCCTCCCAAAGATCTTTTCCCCCCTTTCCCCCTTAAGGCATTTTTTTCCCCAGATCTTCTCCCTTTCCTCCCTGAGATCTTTCCCCCCCTTTCGCTGTTGAGATCCTTTCCCCCTTTCCCCCCTTCATTTCCTTCATCAGCATGGGCAACATCCCCAGCATCACTTGCATCATCCGCATCCTTGGCAGGCGCTGATGCGGATGATGCAGGTGATGCTGGCGATGTGCCGCTGGAGCTGCTAATAGTCTGAAATGGTGCCGGGGTTAGGGGAGGGGTAAGTGTCCAACACGCCGTTTGTTGTCGGCGGATATATGTAAATATCTACATGTACACATACATACATATATTGTTTTAGGAAACCAGTAGTAGATGATTGGTATTTGTTCGCTTTTATTAGTCGATCTTTGCGGCGTGAAGGAAGGAACGCGCCCAAGCCAAAAGATGGTTGAGGTGTTGTGCCAAAACCGCGCCAGTGGTTCACGTAGCAGAACAACTTTCGACAAGACAAGGATTTTTTCACCTCCGGCTTCCATCGGACATGGGCACCATCTTTGGGCTGAGTTCCCAGGTGGCAGCACAGCCAAGCAGATAAACATTTAGATATTGTTTTGCACCAAATCCTCACCGATAGCTTCAGGGACATAGACTCCAAGTAAGGGGGGGGCAGGGCCCCAAGAGAAAATGTGTTTGTTCATTTGTGGGTTTCAGGTTCTGTACTAGTTTTGCTAAAAAGGGGTCGACTCGGGTAGTTGCAAAAAAGGTGGCACTGGCCACATTTTAACGGCGACTCGGGTAATGAACACCTCGTCCATTCATAGATGAGGCATGAGTGGTTGATGTATGATTCAATGCAAGATGCTTGACGGAGCGGGTACTTCCATCCATGGCCCGGGGTGCAGGAGCTCATTGAACGCAAAACGTTGGCCAAGTTCCGACGCACGCCTTGCCTTTCCTAACGTAGACGTGCCTTTGGCAGGAAATGATACCGATTTTGAAGGAATATCAAAGGAAGAGCAAAGGAAGAGCCCAGGGCCGTCACCTTCAACCTGACCGTAGCAGGTTGAAGACCACTGCTTCAGATATCTGGCCAAACAGGCCTAAGTTCGGGGATTGCACCAAAAAGCACCTCAACCATGGGAAAGAGCTCTGGTGTGTGAATTAGATATGGCAACCTCACTGCCAGACCTTCGGAGACCGTCCTTTTTTGTATGAGCGACGGGGAAGGCCGTTGGTGCTGGCCACTTGAGGCTTAATGTGGATTACAGACATGGGTAATTTATCCCCTTTGCAAACAATCATCGAAGTGGAATGCGAGCTTGTTCCCAAGAGCGAAAGTAGACCTCCAATCGTCAACTTCCATGATGGGAGGGAGGGTAATTTGTTTTTACTATCAAACTCGTGTTGGCCACAGTAGATAGTTCTACTACCTGGCTTCAGGGGATTACAGAAAGAGTATATAGTGACTATATATACACGTCGATGGGTCCGTCTCCAAATAAGGGAGCCCTTTTTGGACCAAAGGGAAACTGCAGAAACCAAACGGGTCTGCAACCACCATGAGGAATCCGTCTCTATTTTTCTTGATTGCTTTTGGGATGGATCTTCAGACTTTTACTCCATGGAAAATACAGGGTTTTCCATGGAAACCACAAACAGTTTGACTTTTTGCAGAGGGGTCAACAGCAACCAAGTTTTGGGGTTGCGACATTTGTTGGCATCTCGGTCGATGTGTCAGCGCTCAGGTGGGTTGCCCCCGAGCCGGGCAGGCTCTTGCTCTGGGCCGGCGAGGCTCGGACTGATATTTTTGGTCAGATGGGTATGACCCTACAACTGTTTTGTTTTAAAATGCTTCCATTTGCTGAAAGGACTATTAAAGAAAGTCAAAGAAATCAAGACCTGGTGGTTTTAGAGGGGATCGATTTCACTCCAAGTATGTTCCCATCTTTTCCCGAGGGCGAAAACACCAGTGGAGGCGTGTCCCATCTAAGCACACCGCCAGGGCTTCGGCGAGGCCGAGGCGGTGAAGCATTGCCGGGGCGCCTGGTGAGGTGATGTCTAGGGCTAGGGGGGTTCCAGGGCAACCCATGTTGGGGGTTGCCAACTATTTTGACCATACCCAATACTGTGGATGGACGAAATATTGCACCTAAGAAACCCTGGTTGCTGATGCGATTCCCCTGTTAAAAAATGCCAACAAACGTTTTGGTTTCAACCATGGACACCCCCGAGTGGTGCGAAGGGTGTTCGTCCATCCACAGTAGGGGCCCTCCTTGTGAGTGGATTGAGACGCAGCAACAGTTGATCCACTGAGTAGAATCACCCGTATAAGGCAGTTGCAATGAAGAATCAAGGCGGAGCACCGCTGTTTGACAAGGTGCAACATTAGCGCGGTCTTAGCGTTGGATTGGATCTGGCCAGGTTGTTCAGGCTGTGGTTGCAAGATGTAATTATCAGTCACATGTCACTGTGTTAAAAGGTGAGGCTGATGCAGACTACTTCTCCACGAGCTACAGCTATTGCCTTTTGCTACAGCTATTGCCTTTTTCCAAGCAGGTACATTGTGGAGCCACTGCTCTTACATGAGCAGTCATACGTGGACAAAAGCCTGCACCACCTAAGAATCCCTAGAATGATGATTCCCTTGTAAATACCGACAAACAATGGTTCCCCATGGTATCCAAGTGGTGCAGGATTTCGTCCACCTACGGAAAATGCGACTTGTCTGATTTCTGTAGCGCCCATAGCCCTGGAGGGGCAAACCGCAGTGAATGTAGCCAGCCCATCCTATTACTGAGTTTCTTGGCGGGGACCTGTTTGGGCATCCAGCCCTTCTGCCCACTTAAGATACCGAGGCAGTGAGTGTCTGAACTGGATGGGCTTGGAGGTTTGCTGTCGTTTAGCAAAGGAGAGGGGGATGCTAAGGGGCTTAGGTAATTTGAAAGCATCGTACAACCTGGTACTATGCAAGTTGTACGCATGCAGTAGTCACTTCCCCCGAATAATAAGCGGTCCCCCTAATAACAGCTGGGGAGCTTGCCTGAGTTCATCTGCTTTCGTTATTGGGGTCGGCTTGGGTTGGCTTGGGTTGGCTTGGGTTTTGTTATTGGGGGTCCGTTCACAAATAAGAAGACTTAGCCAGCCTGCAGCATTGGACCGGCTTGGCCATATGATCATGAGTGTCGCGCCAAAATCAGGTTTGTTCAAACAAGGCCACACACCATTTTAAACGGGAACCTAAACACGGATGTGTATATGATATCTTTTTCAAAAAAGGCCACCTTTAAATTTCCCTTTCGCGTACGTTTAAGCCAAGCCTTTAAGGGGCACCCTCCAAAAACACAAGCCCACACTGGTCTAAATCTGTTGAAGCTGGTGGCTGGCCTACCAATTCCATGGGTGCACGGCCAGAGCGAGGCGTACGCGTGCGGCCGGACGGGCCTCGCGTGGAGTACTCCCACAGCACGCGGGATCCGGAGGCGACGGCGGTCCGGCGGTCCGTGAGGTGATGAAAAACCGCGGATGAAGCAGAACCCGCAACCTTTGCTGATCACTTTTGCGGGGGTTCCTTTCATGTTGACCCAGGAGCAAGCAAATCCCTGGTTGATGAAACAGGGGTCAGTCTCCCATTTTAGAGGGCAATTATTCCATGGTAATCCGCCTTATTCAATTCAATGCGGACTGATTCGTTACCTTTTTGAGGGTTCTTCCCCTTTTGGTGGTTTTAAGCACCGCCCTTGGCAAATTTAAAGGTAGGGTTTCTTTAAGCGGGGTTTTTCAGAGGGAAATACATTAATGACATTGGAGCCCTGCTCAAATTTTCGGAATAAGGTTCCTGTTTGAGACCCCATGTCGCCGATTGTCCAAGTGATTTGACCTGATCATGGTTTCGACTTTAAGGGTGGCTGAAGAAGGGTCCGACTCCTGTAATTTCCCCATGATTGTCCTTGAGACCACTACCAACCAAAAAGAGTGACCTTGCTGCCATTCCAAGTATCCCCATGTACTACAGAAACAGGTCGACAGGGCTCTGCATGTTGGGAGGTCTTGCAAAGCATCAATGCCTCTAACAGGAAGGCAAATGGAATGGTGGCCGGCCCCTGTCGTCAGAAGAAACCATAGAGTGATGTGTTGACTCCAGAGCAAATCGTCCTGCTGCTTTTGCATTTCTGATTTTGGTCCATGTGGAATGCCCCAAGCTCAGCGTTTGATTTCAGTGCTTTCATGCAAGAGAGACAGGAGCTTGCGACCTCAAAAGCTGCTCTTTTCCCTGTTTTTCCCTTTGCCTCCCATCCACATGTGCAGAGTGGAAGTTGTAGATGCTTTGTTTGTCTGTTTGTTTGTTTGTATGTTTGTTTGTTTGTTTCTTTGTTTCTTTGTTTAATTGTTTCTTTGTTTGTTGGTGCAAATCATGTTCATGGCACTATGTCTCTATTCAATAGTTGTAACCCCTTTTGCTATGGTCTGCCGGGTGTTTGCTTTTGTTGCTATTTTGCTGAGCGCAACAAAGCGAAGCAGCTTGCTTGCTGGTTTGCTTGGTTGCATGGTTGCTTCGATGCGTGTTTGCTTGGTGGGCTGGCGGGCAGGTGGGCGTGCGGGCGGGCGGGCTGGCTTGTTGATTGGTTGCTTGCTTGCTTGCTTGGTTGCTTGGTTGCTTGGTTGCTTGGTTGCTTGCTTGCTTGCTTGCTTGCTTGCTTGCTTGCTTGCTTGCTTGGTTGGTTGGTTGGTTGGTTGGTTGGTTGGTTGGTTGGTCGGCTCATTGCTTATGTGATGTGATGTGATGTGATGTGATGTGATGTGATGTGATGTGATGTGATGTGATGTGATGGATGGATAGGAGCAGCTAGGCTGTATATAGTTTTTATCTGGTGCTTTGATAATGCTTACTATCAGCTGGCCATCCTGAGTCAATTGCACAAAACGCGAAGAAAGACGAGGATTTGCCATCGCCAGCGGCCGTAGACTCCGTCCATTGATCCAACCAAGTCAAGACCAAATCAAATCACATCTCTTTCAATCCACATCCACATCCAATCCCATCACTGAATGTCACATCACAGCACAACAATCAAGAAATCAAGCAATGAATATATGGCTATGGGTCAAAATTCAGCCACCAGGAAACGGACCGCAGGTTTTACTCCTTCTTTCCATTTTCCAGGGTTCCGTTTTGGGTACCGTTTTTTTGACCCACGGCCATATCCATCACATGAGCCTCAATCACCCACTCCGCCTGAGCCTCAGGCGCCGGCCAGCGGCAATCGCCGGAGCGTGGCGCTGGCGGGGGGGGGGGGGGTCTTTGTCTCGGTGCTTTCGGGATTGAAACATGGCTTTTTCAACACCAAAGTAAAGGGAAACCACCATTTACAAGTTGCAATGTTCGGGTGTATAATGTAAGGATCCCTGTCCGAGATGCAGGTGCTTGAGGGGTGGAGAAGTCTGGCACAGTTCTGGGCAAAGTGCATGCGTTCTACACTGGACAGGTACAGTACCATGACAAAACTGCGCCTTTTGTTTGGTCCATGGGGTTGTCGGGACTTGGCTGTGAGTCAACGTGAGTCCGGCTTCGCATACCTCGGTGATGAAAACACATATTCCGAGGCAGCGCCCATGGGTCGCAGCTGACGGAGAAAGTTCTGATACCGAAAGTGGCCCGGATAGGTACCCTTCCTCCCACAAACATGGCACCCGTGGGAGGGTTACCTGGAAGATCAGTTTCCTCGTAAAGGGACCCCCTGTGAGATGCTATGTTAGTGGGAGGTCATATAGCTTCAATTTTCCGGGGTCTTTGACATTTCCAAGGAGCCGACATTGAGAGACTTGAATACAGCGGGCTTGCCAGCGCGTCGCCTTTTTGGCGTTCCATGGTTTCTAACTGCAGCAGATGCACTCAGCTTGCCTCTTGCCCGGGCGGACAGCCGAGCCAGAACACATGCAGGTTCTGGACATAGTGATACGACCGTATATAGTACGGTTTTGCTGGTACATAGAATAGTTTACATGTAGAATAGTTTACATGTAGAATCTGCAGAAGCAGGGTGGGTGCGTAGTAAGAAACACGAAATGCAATTGCCAAAGGAAGTTCAACATGTGTTTCTGTGGCACGTCACTTAGAACTGCACGTGTTGTGCGGGGGAAAGCCAAGAAAGAACACGAGCACGCCGGCGTGAATTTGGCTCCACTGCAGGTCGAATGGCGAACACTGTGCGGACTTTCGTGTGGTCAACCGTCAACAACCGGTTCTCGTTCGACTTTTCAGAGGGCTCGCACAGCCCTTTGTTGACTCTCGGCGGTCAATCAGCAAGAAGCATTTTTGTGCGTTGTTCATGGGCTGGCCGGCTGGTAGCTAACTATCGAAGAAGTAGATAACTAGCAAGTTACATCCACCTAGTTAGCGGGCTGCCTACCAAACAAACAGACTTGCTGACAAGCTAGCTGGTATTTAGCTACAACCTATCTAGCTAAGTGCCTAATAGATAATCTAGCTAAGTAGCCTTTGAATCCCTTCCCCCTATCAAAGGGAAGGCAGAAGGAGGTTGTGCGCACATTTGGGAGGGTCCCAGCGGTGATGCCCGCAGCTTGGCATGTTCATGCGTTTGGGATGGCAACTCGAGATGAACCCATGAAGATGTAGATTTGAAAACTAGATGACTGCACTCATTTATGTGCTGATACATTTACGTGTTTCCGTTTTTTACAAGTGCACAAACCTATATGCGCTTGCGCCAGATCCTGGATGAGTAGCCCCGCTGCGGAGTGATGGGAGTCCAGGTGCACGCGCAAAACACATACGCATGTATCAAACCCAGGGAGCGCTCCATGCAATTCTGGACAGTTAATAGTGGCCTCACCATGGTGATGACAGTGTCTTACTTTGGAATTCCCGTATTCGAGTGTAAATTATAGTGTGTTTTTGTCTATATGATTGGTACAACATGTTGGTGCTGTGTGGACACGGTCCGACATGCCGGGCGGGACATGTTTCTTCTGAAGAGCTCACCTCTCGTGCTTCATCAGCTTTTTGCTTGCTGCAGGTCCCAAAGGTTGTGCTGCAGCGGAAACATGTCATTGACCTCAAGCTGCCTTTGTCGGCGACCTGGGCCTTAAATGCGTGAGCAGGTCCTGATTCTGCCCTGTCAGAGACAGCAGACATCAGCCTTGCTGGCCCATTTTCAGGAGGCTTTGATGGGGCTTGCGAGCCTGGAACCTTCAAAATGAGGTGTTTGACTTATTTCTCTTTGACCTCAAGAAAAAACATTCATCCGTGAAACATGCCACCCCCAAAAAAGGATCAGACCCCATTCCCCCGCCCCAGTTTCCCGGGCTTTTCCTCGGCGCTGCTTTTGCATACCTCCAGGCCCCCAGTCCCTCCCGTGCGGGCGAAAAAAGAAGCGCGCGGGGTGTCGGGCTGGACGCGGGGCCGCGCGAAGGGTCCATGAGTTGTTCATGTGCTCACACTGAAGGGACCCTTTGCCAGATTCCAGGCGTTCCATTTGTGGCCTGCAGCCTTACATGGACATTGTTTCCATAGAGTTGTTATGTTATGTTCAGAATTAGAATGAATCAGCGGCCAAGTGCTGATGACCAGGTAGTCCCAAAAGGGACAGCCCGCTTCGAAACGGGTTGCAGGCAGTTTTGGTATGCTGAGTCTGGTTGGCTTGAATTGGTCAGAGTCCTGAGCTCGCCTGCCGCTGACAGGCTGAGGCACGTCTCCCAAACATAACTGGTCAATAACTCTTAAAACCCAAAGCGTGATGCAACCACTCGGCGTGATGCAACCACTTGCCGCTGAGGCACGTCTCCCAAACATATCTCTTAAACCGCCAAAGCCGGTAAGGGCAAGGAGGGGCCGGCTCAGTTCGTGTCCAGAGCCGACGCGAGTCGGGGGTCGGGGCGGAATTGGCAAAAGCTGAAGTCTTGGAACATCTTGGAGCCAAATTTCGGGCTTGCGGTGGCCAGAATAGGGGTTCGGGGACCCGGGCAAACCATCATGTAAAACCTAAAGTCTTTGCGCTACGCACGTAGATACAGATGTGCATAGAAGCGTGTTTATATACATATATATGATACATGGTGTGTTTATATATATATATATGTATTAAGAACATTGTGCAGGCATACATGTATAGTATGCCGAGGACAATTAATCATGTATATACGTACATTGAACAATATGGTTAAGTATTAACAGTACCGCGCCCAGAAACTCTGATTTTACCGCCAAATTTTGCACAAAAGTCCAGCATCCTCACTTGAACGTCCGTCATCTGGACTCAGGGGGCTAGATCCCTCGCCACTTTGTGACTTCAACTGCTCCGTATACGTGCGGCATGCGGCCAGAATTGGATCTGCATGCAGTCAGTTCATCCTCACAAAAGCACTTTGGTATGGTGTAAGTCAGCTCTTGCACTTGTAGTTGTGGTCTCTGCGCAACGCCGCGCAGGTCATCCTTTTTGTGCAGTTCGTGCAGATTCTGGTGAGTTACTTCGAGTGCGCACAACATGTGCTGCGAGTGTTGCGGCAGTAAATGTGTCTCCATGCAACTGCAAAGGTCTGGCCTTTTTTCGCGAACTTGAATCCGATCGGTTGTTTAAGACATGATGGAACATCATGCGCTTTTCTCAGGCTTGGCCCAACCCTGATGATGTGTGCGGCTGGGATTCAGGGTAGAGCCGCAAACCTACAGCCCGTTCGTGTGTGTGTGTGTGTGACAATGTCCTTAGCTTGTTGTGACTGTAGCGTGTATTTGGACATTGGACAGCAGGACGACTGATTGAGCAATTGCCAACATTCACTTCCATTCGATAGGTTTCGATTGAATATATGCCAGGACACCACCAGTCAAAGCTATCAAGCGCGCTACTGAGTCAGATTATCCCGACACATGTTGCAAGGGTTTTTAAAGTACGCGCGGGCGAGCGAATTGATCAAATTTGTCCAAATCTGCAAGCCTGAGATTGGATTTGTTTGGGTTTCTGGAGTGGGCCCCTTGGTTTTCTCGAGTGGGAAACTGGGAACGAGCTCAGCAAAACGCCTAGTTCACCTGGCCGCGTTTGAGGACCATTTGCCCGGTTCAAATGAATGGGCTGTAGCTGGGGAAAAAGCCTATGTTATACACTCCAGCTTTGGCCTGCTTGCCTTCGTTGTTTGTGACCATATGGCCTTTGTGGAGTGAACAAAAAGTGGGTTGGGAGTTTTTGACAAGGGGTACTGTAGTCCCCGACTCATCACACCAAACCCCTTGTACAGGTCCTTTTCAAGCGCCCTTTGATTCATTTCGGGGTCAGAAAGTCCGACGTGGGTTTGTGGCATAGGTGCGAGGTGCTCTCAATGGTTTTGGTCGAGTGCTTCGACTAGGCCCTGCCCAAGGTTGGTAGGATTTTTTCCCATCATCAGCTACAAAATCGGCCTTAAATTGGAAAAACTGTCAAAATGCGCTCGTTTTTTTGTGGCCCAAAGAAAACGGGGGAACATGAAACCGGATTGCCTTTGTTCTGGATGAGTTTTCCGTTCAAATCAAGAGGACAGCGCCTCAGAAAAACTGTTTGTAGGTACGGATGCAGTTCTTCTAACCTGAGCTTACTTTTTACCCTTGCAAAAGCTGGCCTTTGCAACCAAAAGCCATTCTCACTTCCTAAGTTCCTGGACTTTAGTCACTTTTCTGGGTTTCAAGAGCCGCCCTTTGCAAGCAAAAGTCATTTGGAGGTATTCAGCGGGCGGGATCACCTTCGAGAACTTCTGGCACTTCACGGTGATCTCCATCATGGGCTCGCCTTCCCGCTTCCGTTTTTTCGCCGTCGCATTGGGCGGATTCGGCTCGGCAAACTCGGTACCAAAATGAGCTAGCTGGAACTGTTCCAGGGTAATCCTTGAAGGATCGAGGCTTATTTTTTTGGGGTTACTCGCCTCTCTTTGGATTGGCTCAGTCTAGGGATTTTGGATTGGGATTGGCCCACTGCCCACCTTCTCTTGATATCTCAGAATCTGCATTTGAAAGGTGGTGTTTCCTTTTTGGTTGGTAATTACACCAAACCCACACAGGGTACCCTCAAAAACACGCGGCAAAAACCCTGAACCGACTCGAAGATGTAGCCAGATCATGCGCTGTTTGTTGCTGGTGCATGGGAAGCGACGGGGTGGTGTTCTGGCTTGCATTACCCACGTTGACGGATGAACCTTATCGGGTGAGCGCCTTTTGACGGGATTGCCACCATGTGGAATCTATCGTGAAAGCGAAGCTTCATTTTGTTCCATGCAACCATCTCCAACATAAAAGAAAGCGGTTGCTTTGGTGGCTTGCCCACTAAACATGGTCAACCCCAAAAGCACAGGTCCCCTTTTTAGGTTAGTTTGGTTAAATGTAGATGGCACTGGTTTATATGGGTCTCATTCCATGTACCAGGGCCATCTCTCGTTCCAAAAGGCCACCGGTGCCCAAACGGCATCCTTCCGCATGGGTTTACCGCAGCTTGGCTCCAGCGGGGAAATCCCAGGGAGAATTCTCCAGCGCCTTCCAAGAGGGCGTCGTTTCAAGGTCCTCTGAGCAACTGCGCCGCGTAGAATTTTCAACGGAGGAAATCAGCACTCCAGAGATTGAGGAGTCGAGTTGATGCTGTGGATGGACGAAATCCTGCAATAGTCGGTAGGTGATTTATCCCATGGTTTACTGGATTTCATCTATCCCAAGTGGTGCAAGATTTCGTTCACCCACAGTATGTCAGCTGTGATTGCATGTTGGGTGTTGGCCCCATATAAATCAACTCCAGTTTTATGAATAGGGGGGTGTCCCTGAGTGAAACGTGGGGAATCATCACTGGAGGGGAAGACCGACCTGTGAACAAGCTGGGGTTGATGAATATGGGCTCAAGAGTATGTGAGTTGTGTTTCCTTGACTTCAGGGCATGGCATTTGGTGGTTTGTCATGCTTATCTTTACATGGGGAGTTTTCTTTGGGGACCCCTTTTGGTGCAGGGCCAACAGAAAACCGAGCTTTTTTTGGGTACCCTTGCGGCAACCCCATTTGGGTCTTGTTTGACAGTAGCCTCTTGGGGCTGTTTCGAAGGGACACCGAAAGGACACCACCCAGTTTGAGGTTCTAGGATCCCCCGGCACACATGGAGAGATGTCCGCCTCAGCGTGGTTTGGGCATCAATTCATCGGGCATGAAAAACGAGGGGAGCCAGATACAAAGCCTCATAGTATGCCCAAACATAGGTGTACGCGTTTGGTCGTTCTATGAAGTCCAAGGATGCATGTACCTGAAAGCAACCAATGTGGGTCCGAACAACCTAGCACAAACGTGGAATGCTGAGTGCCAAGTAGCCCCTTTACGTGTTGTTTTCCAAGAAGGATATTTCGAGGAGATGGAAGTTGTTTTTCCAGACCATATAGCTCCCAATGGTTCAGTTTCTAAAAGTTTGTGCATGAACTGAGTCAATCAGACACGTGCTGTTTTACTTTATGGGACATGCAAAAGCGCATCTACCATACACGCTTGTTCTTAGTGGAGGGTTGAAGAAACAACCATCAGACATTGCTGCAAGCGTATCTCAGACAGCGTATCCAGAAACCTGCAAAAATATCCAGACAGTTGTTTGCTGGTATCTCAGGTTTCAGCAGTTGCTCAAACCGGGCCCCACGTTCGCGCGGCTGAAACCTGGCCGCTCCTTTTCAGCCTGGACCCGTGGCCTCGATGTATTTTGTGCGTGAGGTGGGTGTGGCTCAAAATGAAAGAGCTAGGGTTACCCTGGTTTGGAGTCCTTGGCATTCACCACGGTGCCGTTCTGGCACCTGGCACATGTTTTGAGCCGCAGCCAAGTCACTTCCAAGGTTTCTGGACTCGGCACCTGAGGCCACGGTACATTAACCTAGGCCGCCTCTTTTAAAGCTGGGCACCGTCGATTTTTTTCGGTGCTGCTTCGCTGCCTTCCCGCAAGGCGAGCGGAGTCCGTTTCTGGTGGCTGGATGTCGTTTGAGAACATGGACTTGCTAGAGATGCCTTTCGAGGTGCCGCGCAAGGCCGGGCGGTTTAGGGGTCTTTGGGGGTCTTTGGGATCTTTGGGGTCTTTGGGGTCCGAGGCATATTTGTTGCATGAGAGAAAGTCATATTTTCGTATATTCGCCGCAGTTTGTGACAGCTGACGCAGTTTATAAACCAATGAATCCTTGGGTCACGCGTACTGTAACTGCCAAAGGGCTCAGCGCCCAACTTTGCAACATGAACATTTTTTATCTACCAAAATAATCGATTGCGTTTTTGTTCACACAACGCTAGTGAAGTTGTGAACATCATTGCACATCGCTGTTGTTTCAGCATTTTGCAGAGAGCACGCTTGCACTTGGTGTATGCTGGCCCAACTCGCAGGAAGTTTCGCCCACTTTCGACACACCAATGGGTTTGTGTCGTTTCTCGTGTTTTCCCTTTAAACCTTAAACCAAGCACAGGGTACCCTCCACCACACAGAAATTCTGATGAGTGGGAGCGCCAGTCGCCTACAAATGCCGGCGGATGGACATTGATGCCTCAGATTGGTTAAGGGTGTTATAGCCCTGTTGTTTGGGGGTCGGTTGCTAGGTGTGTAACTCCTTTTCGCCAAATTCCCAGCCTGCCAAGCGCCGAAATTCCGGACAGGAACAGGCGTGAACATGACGACATGGGGCAATTGCTTCTGTTGAGGTCGTCTCCGAGAGCTTGTTTGAATGGACCTGGGGTGTTTCTCAGGATGAGTAAACCCTCAAGATGGCGCCTCTCTCTTTGGACGAATCCACACCACTCATTTTGAGAGAGGCCCAAATGGGTTGTGTGTCCCTTGCCGCCAAAACAAAACGGAAAAGGGCACGCCTCAAAAGCCACGAACCAAGTGAAGTTCTGAGTTCGCCCCCTTTGTTCGGGGACCATTCCGCACTGTTTGGCCGGTTGTTTAGGGACGAGCAAATGAGCAGGGGCTATCTATTTTACCACACAACGACGAACAAATGCGCAAACGCAAGGTTTCCATGCACCCAGCTGTTGATATGGCTTAACAAATCCGCGTGGACCTCCTGCCCCCAAGGACGGACTGCTGTGTTTTCCGGCAAATGGCGTCCCATGGCATCCCATGCCATCCCACGACTCCTTGCGCAGGCGCAGGCGCAGGCGGTGAAGAAGGTTAAGCGCTCGGAGTCGCACCTGGGACAGAAAGCCGCTTCCAATCTTGCTTCCATTTGCTTAAGAATATGTTTTATGTTCCCTTGTTGGTTTTAAGAGAAGTTTCTCACTACTGGAAATATGTTTTTTTCCAGGGGTCTTACTGTAACCAAATGGAAGCTTGGGGTATGTGGTTCATAAGCCTGGTAGCCCACAAAGCCATGGCTACAAGTCTCCGTTTGGAGAACAAAAACCAAGCTTACTAACCACGTACTGACGTACCTTGCCCCTTTGAGTATAGCTGAATTGGGGGACGAGCAAACGAGGGGGCCATTTACCCACTGACCAACGAGATGAGCAAAATGGAGTTTCCAACTCCACCAGCCAGATAGTTTCTCAAGTCCCGATCCCTTTTTGGATTTTCGGAGGAACAAGAAACCACACGTTAAAATTGGTGTCCCCAATTTTGATAACCATCCACATTTCGCAAGAATACAACCAAACACAGGCCGATCTGGATCCTAAAATGCAGAGATTCATTGCCAGCCGGACTGAAGGTCCCTGGTTTCTTTCGCAGAATTCTCTGGTGGCTAGGGCGTTTCCCCCCGTCACCTGCAACCCCTCGAAGACAAACCTTCCCTTCTAAAATGTACGCGAAACCAGGTTGGCGGGAGGATATGAATGTTTCTTGGCAGGGGATCCTTTTCATTTTTGCCTGGCTATTCCGGGACATTGTCTGACTGGCATGCTTTTGACTTGTAAACCCGAAGAGGTCCGAATATGCTGTTCCTTTTGGACAGGATCAAACTTTGCAGTTTCCCACAGATCGCATGTTTGGGCGGACAATGCTAGGCACCCCTGCGCCATTCAAATTTGTCAATATGCTTGAGGTGATTGTTGTGCTTCCTCCGGCTGGTCAATCTAAGCTTTCCTGGGCATGTTCTTCTTCCGGATCGAGCAACACAAGCGCTCATTGCAATCTAAATGCTCATATCAGGACAAAATGCACATTGGGCAAATGCCGTTTGAGTTGTGACATCGAATCATTCTATGTCGTCCGCTTATTTCCGCCTTTTTCCAGGTTTAAAATTCCCCGCTTGCTTGAGACACACCTGGCCACAGCTTCGGACACCCAAGTGGGTGAACCCCAGTTCTTGGTGCGAGGGTCACTGGGCTGAGAATCAGAATTGCTGGATAGGCCCCATCTGCCGGACGAGCAGCTTCGGCCCCTAGCGCCGCTGAACAGGCGAGGGTGCCAAAGAAAAGACTGCAACCCCGTTTTGCTTCTTGTGGATTGTTTCCGTTTTTCACTCCTTCCTTGTTTGTTTCCTTCCTTGCTGCCTTCCTTCCTTCCTCCTTTCCTCCCTTCGTTCCTTGTTTGTTTGTTTGTTTGACTTCAATTTTGGATTGATTGTTTATTTGTTACCGTGTTTATTTTTGTCTTTGTTTCTCTTTGTGCTTGTGTGACAGTTTTGCTTTTGTGCCTCTTTGTTTGTGTTTGTGTCTTTGTGGGTTTGTTTGTTTGTTTGTTTGTGTGTTTGTTTGTTTGATTGTTTGATTGTTTGTTTGTTTGTTTGCTTGCTTGTTTGTTTTGATTGATTGATTTGATTGATTTGCTTAGCTTAGCTTAGCTTAGCTTTGCTTTGCTTGATTGATTGATTGATTGATTGATTGATTGATTGATTGATTGATTGATTGATTGATTGATTGATTGATTGATTGATTGATTTGATTGGTTGATTGATTGATTTGATTGATTGATTGATTTATTGATTGATTGATTGATTGATTGATTGATTGATTGATTGATTGATTGATTGATGAACTGACTGACTGACTGACTGACTGACTGACTGACTGACTGACTGACTGACTGACTGACTGACTGACTGACTGACTGACTGACTGACTGACTGACTGACTGACTGACTGACTGACTGACTGACTGACCGTCTGACTGACTGACTGACAGATTCCCTGGTTCACGGAGCGACTGAATCAGTGATCACTGATCGACTGATTCACATATTCACTGATTCGCTCATTCACTAATTCACTCATTGGTTGATTGGCTGATTGGTTGATTGGCTGTTTGGTTGATTGGTTGATTGGCTGATTGGTTGATTGGTTGATTGGCTGATTGGTTGTTTGGCTGATTGGTTGATTGGTTGATTGGCTGATTGGTTGATTGGTTGTTTGGCTGATTGGTTGATTGGTTGATTGGCTGTTTGGTTTATTGGTTGATTGGCTGATTGGTTGCAGATTGGCTGATTGGTTGTTTGATTATTTGCATGATTGATTGATTGATTGATTGATTGATTGATTGATTGATTGATTGATTGATTGATTGATTGATTGATTGATTGATTGATTGCTTGGTTGGTTGGTTGGTTGGTTGGTCGGTCGGTTGATTTGTTTGATTGATTGATTGATTGATTGATTGATTGATTGATTGATTGATTGATTGATTTGTTGCTTCTGTGTTTCGTATTGTTGCGTTTCTCCCTTGCTGTCTTGTGTGTATATTTCTTATTCCCCCCCCTTCTCCCTTTGTTTCCTTGGTCATTTGTGCTCATTATTATGTCATTACTTGTTTCGTTCTTTGTTTCTTTCTTCTTTCTTTCTTTCTTTCTTTCTTTCTTTCTTTCTTTCTTTCTTTCTTTAGTTATTTCAGGATCTATTGTGTGTTTTGTTATCGTCGCTCATTTAATGTTTTTGTTCTTGTTTGTTTCTTTCTTTCTTTCTTTGTGTATTCCGCTTTTGTTGTTTATTCTTCGTTCATTTGTCTTTTGATTTGGCTGTTTGTTTCCCCCTTCCTTCCTTTCTTCCTTCTTTCCTTCCTTGCTTTCTTTCTTCCTTCCATCCTTCCTTCCATCCTTTCTTGCTTCGTTCCTTCCTTCCATATTCTTGTGTTTTCTCTTGTTTGTTTGTTTTTTTGTGTGATTGTTTGTTTCTGTGTTTGTTTGTTTGTTTGTTTGTTTGTTTGTTTGTTTGCGTGCTTGCTTGCTTGCTTGCTTGTTTGTTTGTTTGTTTGTTTGTTTGTTTGTTTGTTCGTGTGGTACTTAATATCTTGGTTGTTTGCTTCATGACTGGTTAGCTGGCTGGCCGGCTGGCTAGCTGGCTGGTTGGTAGGTTGGTTGGCTGGTTTGCGTGCCTTGCTTCGGTTTGACTTGAATTGTGTTGCCTTTGCTCGCTAGGTTGACTGAAGTTACACGAAATGGGTTGGCTGATTGTTGCTCTTATTTTTTGCACTGCCTGTTGTTTAGCGTTCTGGAAGAGCAGGAGCTGCTATCGAAGGTTTGATCACGTTTTTCTTGGCCACCATTCTGCATTGTCCCAGCATGAGTGCTACCTGTAGAAACCTTTTGGAGAATATCGTCCCGGGGTACTGTCAGTTAAACAACGTGTTAACAGGCTCGACCCTGCTCCATCTGACTGAGCAACATTCTGTTGATGCCTTGATCAGCATGTTGGACCAATAAAAAAAGCCCAAGCAAGAAGAAAGTGGACGTACAGTCACGGCAAATCTATGCATAACCAAGCTACTAAATCGGTCTTTATAAGCTCTTCCATTTCCTCGATGATTCTCACACTTAACCTCGATGGCGACTCCCAACCTATGGGCAAGTGCCTGAGTCAGGACACTGGACATGTCAGCCGGATCTGGCGTCCCCCGGCGCCAGGTTTGGTGACGATCACAGCTGGGCCGATCGGTGCCTGCGCTGCTCTTTGAGCAAAGGCCCGCGGTTTTGATGTGGCTGTGGCTCAAAATTAAACAGGAGGGGTTACGCAGGTGTTGCTCCATGTTTCCACTTGCCAGGGTTCCATTTTTGGGTACCGGTTTCTTAGCCACAGCCATGTGCTTTTGGTCCGTGTTGTTTTTCCTGCGACGCAGTTGTATTATATAGGGGCAGCTTCCTTATTTCCGGGGAACCTTCTTTTCCAGACGCAAAGCCCGGAACATACTGATTTGAGACGCGAGCAATGAGTGAAAGAAATGGAAAACACCCAACGTGGAACCATTGGTGATCGGCTAATCATCGTTTTGCTGAGAATAGATGCGAACCGCGCGTTTCCGTTTGTTTCTCTGAAAGGACGCCTACATCATTCTGAATCAGATCACCTCCTTTACAGGAGCGTGTTTGTTCGCGACCGCGGGCCCCGCGAAGACTTTCTTCATAATGTGCTTAGGGGCAAACTCCTTCTTGCATTCGGTTGATTTTTGCAATTGGTCTTCCAGCCGTGGCCCCGACAGTGGAGGATCGCCCTCGCAGGAAAAGCTCGCGATTTCCAGTAGGCTTTCACCAAGCTGAAGCGAACCTGGATGGGATTCTGTGTGCGTGGGTGGGTGTGCACGTGTGTGTGCGCGTGCGTGTGCGAGTGCTTGCGGGCGTAAGGGTGCACGGATGCGCGGGTGTGCGCGGGTGCGCATGTGTGCGCTTGCGCGCCTGCGTGTGTGCGCGTGCGCATGTGTACATCGCATGGACTTGCCAGCGGAATCTCCTCAAATCCCGCAGTGATCAAATGCTTCCAGTGGAGGTTCAGCAAAAGCGCTTCAACCGATTTGTTGAAGGACGCAGGCATATATACTTGAAAGACTGACACGCGCGCGGAAAAAACAAAAGCGTCACGTACGGGGGCGGCTTCTATTCTTGGAGTTTGTCGAGCAGCGGTTCGCTCTGGCTTTAACATCCGACGCCCTAGCGAAATGCTGATGGCCACAGAATTCCGTTACGGATTCCGGGGTGATTTAAGCAAAAAGGACGCGGGGCCTTGGCCAGAACCGCATTTGGTGGAAAACCACTGGAAAAAAAGCGGCCGTGCAATGCAGCAGATGACGCTAAAAAGTCAAGCACCAATTAGTTTAATGGTTCCTACTTGGATTGCTTCCAACTGATCACACGTTTTTCAACCCGGCGGGTTGTTCTTGAGGCTACGGAAACCAGGCGGGAAAGATCCAGGCTTGATCCACAGGTGTCGAAACGAGATCCAGATTGAAGATGTCAGACTCCTGCCTTCAGCGAGGCGCCCTGGAGATTTTCGAGGGGCAGAGGCGGGCGAGTGCTTCATCAAGAGGGAGGGGTGCTGTCCTCCATTTACACTTTTTTTGAAACCTTGTTTTGCCCGGTCTGCCGTGGGAATTTGCCGTTTTTCAAGGTTGCCATTTGTTTGTGAGCTAGTGGCTGCGCGATTTCCCGAAGTGATCAAGTCAGGGGCATGCGAATCCAAATTTGGTATTTGAGACAAGGCTATTCCACAGCAAGGAACATCTCGCAGGAGGGTTCTTGAAAACTATGTTCTCAGTACAAAGGTCTTTTGTCAGCTCATGCTACTGGGTTGGAGGGCAAGGCTTTGAGGCTTGTCAAAGTACTTAAATAACTAATGGGGATTTGCCCATGTACGGAGCAATTGCCGAGCAGCCCAAATATGATCTACTGCTAGTTGGGGTTGTGGCTCCCTCCGTATCACTACGAAGGTTTGTTCTACCGTTGACCAGTAAGCTTGCGGTCGATTCCCAACTTCAGACCTGCACAAGCGCTACATATTGCCTGTGGCCCAAGCGAAGCAGAAACAAAGCCAAGCATGGTACCAATGCACGCAGAGCTGAAACCAGATGCCTCAAGTCAAAGATCAACTTGAGCCTGAGGACCTGTGCCAGGGTTGATCCTAAGTCGAGAAAGTTGGATCTTAGGTATGCCTCGCAAGGGGGAACTCCAACAAGGGTGGTTTTCTTTTTGGTTTCCCTCCAAAAGCAAAAAACCCAGAGGACCCTTTTTGGCTTCTGACATTCTAGAGGAATCCAAGAGACTTCCGCCTTTCCCCTATTTTGCAAAGAACACCTGGGGAAAAAACCGGTTGGCCTTTGAACTGGTCCCAAAGGCTGGCCTTGTGATTCGATATGGCCAGCTTTAGGGTGACACATTTTCCGGTGGCCTCGGCCATGTCGGCCATGGATCGGCCTTCGCTGCTGGCGCTAACTCTGGGGCTGGGCTTGGGTGTGGCTCTGGAGATGCTGAGAAGTCGGCGCAAAAAGCCGCCGAAGGAGGCGGCAACGCAAAGCCGACCTTCGGTTTCCGTGTTTGGTTTAGTTATGTTGAGAGTAATTGCACCCCTATTTGAATCAACACTTCTTCAAACATCATGGGGGGGGCTGCCGCCCCCCCCCAACCCCCCCGCTACTTTTTAGATGTCTTGCAGAGATTGAATTGCACCCCTATTTGAATCATCACTTTTTCGAGCGTCCAATTTCGCGAGAAACTGTTGCAAAATACGATATTTTGGGTAATCTGTGTAATCCTGGTCCATGTATGTCTGTATGTATGCACTTCTTCGAACATCATAGCAGAAGCCACCCCCCTCAACCCTCCCGCTGCCTTTTAAATTCTATCGCACCCTTTCTTGAATCATTGCACCCCTACTTGGGGGGGCTGCCGCCCCCCCCAACCCCCCCGCTGCGTTTTAGATTTTCTACAGAGATGTAACTGCACCCCTACTTGAATCATCAATTCTTCGAACATCATGCCGCCCCCCCCAACCCCCCTACTTTTTAGACATGTTGCAGAGATTGAATTGCACCCCTATTCGAATCATCGCTTCTGCGAACATCATGGGGGCTGCCGCCCCCCAACCCCCCGCTACTTTTTAGTGACTTTTTACAGGGACTGAAATGCCCTCCTATTTGAATCATCATTTTTGTTGACCCTGTCAACCGCCAGCTTTATTTTTTTCGGTGATGCTAGGGATGTTGATCGGACATGCGGGGGATGTTGAACACGATGCTGGGAAAATGCGTCAATTTCGCGAGAAAATGCTGTAAAATACAACATTTTACTGGCCCGGACGAAAAACGGAAACACAAATCCGAAAAACAATTCCCAAAATATATCCGCGCCCAAACCCATTTCAACAGAGATGTAAATAGCATCATCCTCTCAGGCCAGGAAATTGCAAAGTTCAGCAGGGGTGCTCCTTTGGCTGTTAAACGATGAAAACACAATAGTAGAACGCGGGATGTAGTCTGCTTTTGTTTGCTTTCTGCGACCACTGCCTACCCTCGAGCAACACTTTCCAAGATCCTTTCAAGTTCTTTGCGTTCTGACTGCAATGCCAAAGCGTCACTCAGCGGAGTATCACTCAATCCTGGATTCACACTTGCCGGCCGACATTTGCACTCAACATGAACATCAAACGTATCAATATGCGCCTGAGCAGAATAATTAGACCGTGCACCAAAAGCACGTACTCGCGCGTTTTCTGGCTTTCCTCTGATTACCCCTGGTTGCAGAAGGATTTGCTGTGTGACCCATGACTTGGTGGAGAAGAGGCCCGTCAGTGCTTGGAGTGTAGAGGCCCAGGGGGGTCCCTTCAAAAGAGAAGCCGCGTTTCGCGGAGCCACGTTTCACGAGCTCCAGTGCTGTTTGGTCGGGCTTTTGTTCAGCGGGAAGCTCACTCGGAGCCCAGCACAAATGAAACATGGCCACTTCATGTTCCGTACTGCCTTCGTTTTCGATGGGACACCCACCCGAGCAACAAATAAATGCAAGCCGGGCTTCAATTCAAATCAAGAAAATCAACAAGTTAGACTTAAATAACCAGCAAACTCAGTTGCCCGTCTTTTCTTTCCCCCTTCCCTCGGCTCTCAGGGCGAGTCCGTAAAGGAGAGCACCATCCGTCTGATGACGCGGCTGGCACTGCAGCATGGCGCTGTGAACTTGTCCCAGGCAGGGCCAGATATTTGGTCGCCTATGGTGCTTCCATTTGCATCAGAATATGTTTCAATATCACACATATATATATATATATCATTATTGTTTTCCCTTGTTAGTTTCAATTGGCTTAAGAGTTGTTTTTGATTTCCATTTCGTTTCAACGGGTTTAAGAATATGTTTTGCAATTTCCCCTTGTTGGTTTTAAAGGGAGTTTTTCACTACTGGACACATATTGATATTTTTTCCAGGGGCCTTAAGAAAATGGAAGGGTGGCCATGCAAATGATGTCCATAGGGTAAACACAAAGCCATTTCAACAGATAAATTTACCTGACCTGGTTGAACATTTTCTTGTTGCAAGGTCTATATAAACCTTGAACATTTTGCTAGAGCCAAACCTTTTTGGTTTTTGGGCACTTCGCATTGGGCAATATTAATTGTGTTTCTGATTCTAAGTGACATGGCAATGTGATGGTTTTGTCCACTATGCCCCTCCTACCGTACATATGGCGCATGTCGCCGTGGTCATGTTGGTCTTCATGGTATTCATATAGGATGGTCATCAACTCCTTCGGCAGACTGGGCAAAAAAGGATTCCAGGGG